TTCAATTTGATGAATACAAAACTGAAGTGCGTATGACAGGTTTTGATGATTTTCCAATTTTGACTTCATTTGGTGGGAAAATACCAGTTATAAATATAAAGTATAATAATTAATACACCAGTCAAGAAGCTAAAAGTTGAAAAATATGTAGAACAGAGTAGCCACCGGGTCTTAAAAGTCTTAAAAAGTCTTAAATTATGTTATCCAAGTCTTATTTTTTTCACAAAGGTGTTAAATTTCATTCGCCTATTTTTTTGTTTACTCAACCGGGCTGCAGTGCAATGGAAAAAAGACACCAACAAGAAATCACGTAACGGGAATGAACGTCTAATTTGGAGTATGTGCCAATAATGCTTTGTTTACTCATTGCCGCTGGTGTCAGAAACCAATCAGTAGAGTGGAGGAAGACGTTGGATGGATCATGGGGAAGTGTAGGTTTAATCCAAAGTGGCTCTTAGGCTACGTTCAGACTGCAGGGCTTAATGCTCAATTCTGATTTTTTTGTGAAATCCGATGTTTTTGCGAGGTTATTCACATTTCCAATTAAATGTGACTTGAATGTGATCTCCAGTGTGAATAGTAAACGGCCCAAAAGTGTCTCGCATGCGCACTGGAAGACACGATGATGTCAACCGCAGCGAGCGTGCTCTGTGTTTACAGAAGTTATCCAAACATGGACGCAAGCATTGAGCACCTGGAGATTTAAAAGTTCCTCTCGTACCGGAGCCAGAACATGAACAATTTACTTGTTGGAGATTGAGAAGGAGAAGGACGAGGTTTTTGGCCGTGACGTTTTGTGGGACAGCGGCAGTAATGTCCTTTGAAAGGAACATGTGGATGTGGAGATGTAGCCAAGAGTGGTGAGTGGTGATGTGCTTCACTTCAGTGACACGGAGTTCATTAACAATTTTCGCCTACTTCAGCGCAGAATAGTGACGTTTGTGGCTTGTTGATAACGTGTCGGATGAATGCGCTTTGACCGTTCAGAAATCACATGTCAAAAGATCGGATATGTATCGGTTTTAGTACCACATATCCAACTGGCCTGGGTCGCATTTGAAAAAATCGGATCTGTGTGGTTCAGACTGTCATTAAAAGATCAGATACAGGTCACATTGGGGCCAAAAAATCGGATTGGGTCACTTCAGGTTGCAGTCTGAACGTAGCCTTAGATTGTAGATATAGTACCATAGTTGGTTGGTCATTATTAGAATTGGACCTGGTGTTTTGGCCTGCATAATGGGTGCAATGTTGGTCTTAATTTTCATTTGTGATGGTCTCAAAAAGGTCTTTAAAAAGTCTTAAATTTGGGGTAATCAAACCTGGGGATAGCCTGTAGAAAATTACAGGAAGTGGAGATTTGTTAACACACTACGGAGAATTCTTTTCAAAAGTTCAATTTCTCAACATTTCTTTCCCCAATATGTGAAGGTGTTTTGTCTATCAATCAATCAATCAACAACTTTATTTATTCCAAAGGGTACTTCAGTTTGCACATCTCTGGTCATGGACAATCCATAAATAAATTAATAAAATAAAAAATCAAATACATTCAAACGTCAGAGCATCAGGGACACAAAAGCAAATTTACTTTCCATTTAAAAGCTTTACGGCAGAAGGAATAAAAGATTTAGCGTAGTGGTTGGTCTTTTATTGTGGGGTGACATATCGTCTCCCAGAAGGCGTTTGCACAAACTGAGAGCGCAGTACGCGGTTACGCTGGCTCAGTATGGCCGTAGTTTTTTGGAGCACCCTTTGTCTCCACACAGACGCCAAATCCTCCGTCTGAACACCACAGACTTTTACTATCTGGTTCAGACTGTTCTTATCTTTCACAGATAAGCCATAAAACCAACAAATAAAAGAAAAAAGTCAGCAAACTTTCGATAGAGCTGAGCTTCCGCGTCAAGTGGACCCGCTGCTGTCCTCGTTTGATCATTTGCTCAGTGTTCTTATCAAACCTTATGGAGGAATCAAACACAGTCCCCAAGTACTTGTAAGAGTTCATCATTTCTACTGCTTCCTCATGGATAAAGCTGGATATTGGACTGTGAACATGTTATATTTGTATTAGTCTAATAATAATTTATGTGCACATTAGAGGACTCTTGGCCCAGTGTACTACATGGTTGCCAGATAACAGTTATGAAATTCCCTTGCGTGATCTGATGATTTCTGACCAAGAAGTTAAATCTGAAACCTAAAAACTTGCCAAAATGGGAAAAAAAAAATGTTTAAAATCTTTAATAAAGTCATTTCTGTGTTTTAGACACGAGTAGTCTAACCTAGTCTGATTCATCCGACGGTTTCACTTCGTGGAAACCGTCTGACGTCGCAGCATTAGGATTCGTTCGCTCAGTGGTAGACGGGTACATTCTCTTTGTTCCGGCTTTAAATCCTCGATCTCGAGAATCGTTGCCAACACAGAATTTATTCATCGTCTACATCCATCTCAGCTGCTTTGTTTATTGTTATTAGGTTCTTTTTACAGAGCAAGAGTTTGTTTTCATACCTGACAGTTTCGACTGCTCACCAGCGGTCTTCTTCAGAGTGTAATAACATAAAATATCAGAAGAATGAATCTCATTGGACTATTACACTTTGTTTACTGTTGTGTTGTATCACAAAAGGGACCCAGACAGGCGCTCGAGTTTGACGTCATGGCTTCACAGCTCTTCTCTGATTGGCCGGTGCGTGGTCTACAACTTCCGAGGTTCTTGCAAACCGTCCAGTTTATTCTGATTCCTGAGCTACTCGCTGGAGAGAAATGAAATTGAGCGGAGGCACATGGTGGCACCAGCCTGGCTAATGATTTCAAACCAAGAAGTTAAATTTGAAACCTAAAAAAATTGCCAAAATGGGGGGAAAAAAAGTTTAAAATCTTTAATAAAATCTCTTCTACGTTTTAGTCAAATGAGTTGTCTAACCTGGCATAGGCATTACACTTTTTGGCACGAGACAGTAAAAAAGTAACTCACGAGGGCTATTGTTCTTTGTCACTTTCTTCTTATTATTTTTCCTTGCAAACAATCACAATTTTGACAGCCTAAACAGAGATGAAAAGTCCCTTAACTGTGACCAGTCCGGTGAAAAATTTAATAAAACAAGCATCTCGACAATGCCCAAAGTGACTCAACAACGCTGCCGAATTCACAAACAAATTTAAAGCCCATGAGCAGCCATAAAGCATTTTTTGGCATAGGTCGACAAAATTTGGTAATTTTATGAGCGTATGAATGTAACACAACACAATTCAATCAATACAAGGTCCATGATGTTGATGATGATGGTTTAATCTTCACGTCGTCTGCAAACCCACGATCAAAACTCCATATACATCAGATATTACAAAGCTTTACACTTGTCCTGCTGGTTTCTCCACGGTTTAGCTGGAGGTAGATTTCCTCACACAGCAGGATCAGACTGTTACATCCTCACAGCCTGTGGACATAAGCCCCCTGAAGAGTCCTGCTTTATGCCTCCATGTTTTTATATTGTTTTTATACGCTCAATATGAAATGTTAAAATGTCTTGAATTCAGAATATGTCTTTTGGGTTCAGGTTTGTGCTGAGTCGTGTACTTTTGATTTATTAAACGTCCACTGTGTAACTTTTTGGTTTGGTTTGGTTGGAATAGCTTTTTCTATCTTCACGGAGACCAAACCACACCAAGGTACAGGTCAGATCTGTGGAGAGGCAAACCCGCTCACAGTCAGAATGCATGTTTTCTAAGTATTTTTGAGCTGTAAAACCACGTGTAATTGAATAAATGTAAGGTAGAGCTGTTTAATGTCACACTGTGGGCAGAGCAACGACATAGCCACAGAAACAAGCAGGTGACAGACCCCCAACTAAAAAGTGGCACAGTGCACCTTTAAGACAACATAATTCCAGTGCTGGATGAAGAAATCAATTTAGTTAATTAAGTAAAAGTACAGATACAAGTGCAAAACATCACTTAAGTAAAAGTATCACATGAAAAAGTACTTAAAGAATAAAAAGTATTTTGTACACATTTTTAGAATAATTAAAGGTTGAAATGTAGTGATTTTGAAAAAGAATTGAGCTGATTTTAAGTGATTCAATTCATTTCTTATATTTTCCATCTGTTTTTGTGTTTTTGTGTATTTGGTTTGCTCAAAGTTGGGACAGAAACTTAAATTAAACGTGCTAAAAAAATTAAGTTTCACCCATTTCAGCAGGTCTCACACTATAAAGAAAAGTACTTTTTACTTTTCAGTCCAGATCTAAAATGTAGTGGAGTATGTAATGCAGTATTCACTGTGAAATAAACTTAAGTAAAGCACAGACAGCTGAAATCTGTAATTAAATATTGTGCTTTTACGTTTGTTCTTTGTTACCTTCCATCCCTGTTATAGGAAATTTTACAGGCATGTAGTGATTACACAAGGGCAGGTCAGGACTAAACCGAGTCTAAACCAGGACTAAACCAGGTCTAAATCAGGACTAAACCAGGTCTAAACCAGGACTAATCTTGGACTTGAGAGAGAGAACCGCATGCAGTGCAGGGTGTCTGCAAAGCGCTATCAGGCGATGGCTGCGCTTACCTGGAATCTGTCCTTGGTTAGTCCTGGGTTAGTCCTGGATCAGTCCTGGTTCAGTCTGTGGCATGTGCGGTGCAAAAGTCCGGCATTTCGATCAGTGTTTCTTCTGCTCAGTAAATAAGTGTGAAGTGATGACAGATTTTTAACAGCAGAGTCGCATCTGAATTCGTATAGAGGGAGCGTAACCGTTTCATTTAATTTCATAATTGTAATTCTTGAAGTCGTAACTTTACAATCCATATTCTGATGGATGCTTCAGTTAGAATGTGTTTAATATGTGTCTGACTTATTACGGGTTAACGGGCGGATGTGGTGCTGTACTGGACGGGTGGGGCGGGTGCAGGTCTCCAAAAATGGACAAAAATTTCAAATCCTTTTCTTACGTTTTCCTCCATCCCTCTCTCCCTCCTCTAAACTCACCTGTTTGTGTTACAGGGAGTTTGGTCGCTGGAAGGTGAACAGCCTGGCCCTGGAGAGGCAGGAGAACAGCGGCTACTCTTTCCCTCTGGACCCAGACTTCGTGCAGACCATCAGGCAGCTGGGCAGGAGACCCAGCACCACCGCCATCACCGACAGCATCATCCGGAAGTACGGCACACACTTCCTCCTCTCCGCCACGCTCGGAGGTAAGACGGAAAAAGAACAAATTGTATATTTAATTACGTTGGTTTTCTGGTTGGTGACATTTTCTGTGAGTGAAGTAGAACGGTTTGCAAATTATGTGGTGAGTTCACGTTCTAGATGTTCAGCGTTGAAAATTGATTTAATGGAACTCAGCAGTGTCCCCTTGCTCGGATTCAACAAGTACATTTTGCATGAATTTTTCCCACAAACTTTTCGACAAAATAGACAAAAATAAAGCTGCGTCTTTAGCGGGATCGCATCTCCACAAACCTGACTCTTATTTGGCCTGCAGTAGTGCCTCCTCCTGTTTTTTTCCATGTAAATGTCGCTCCTTTGCCGATAATCTTCCTCAGTATGGTGCAAGCGAATCTGTTTTCATGGAGAGTTTTTAAGAAGTTTGGTTTTAAATTTCTATTTTCATGGAATCAAAGAAGTAATCAGAGTGAGATACACAAAATTGTTATTATTATTATTATTTTATTTATTTATTTATTTATTATTATTTTATTTTTTATTTTGTATTATTATTATTATTATTATTATTATTATTATTATTATTTATTATTATTATTATTATTTATATTTTATATATTTTATATATATTTTTATTTTTTTTTATTTTATTTATTTATTTATTTTTTTTAATTTTATTTTATTGTGGACTTATGGTCTCATGAAACTCTGGAGTTCAACCAACATCACAGAGGCTAAGCAGCTACGGACTAACTAATATTCATAATGCAGATGTTTTAAAGTGCCCTTGACAGACTAGACTGCTCATTTGCCTAAAACACAGTTAAGGTCATTGTATTTATGATTTCTGCAATAACATTTACATTTACTTTGGCCATTTTTTAGATTTAAAATTGTGCTTCCTGGTTGGAAATTATGACATTACGCGAGGGGATTCTATAACGTTACCTCGCAACGCTCCTCTAACGTACACAGAAGTTATTATCTCACAAATACAAATATAACACCGTGATTTTGTTGAATTTATAATTAAAGTTTGATGTCAGTTTGATGTCACCAGTGTGTTCATTTCTCTAATCGGGTAAGTGTCCATTGATACGAAGGTTGGCGGTTAGAATCCCGCTCTCGACATAAACGTCATTGGTTGAGCGGTTAGAAACACTGACCCACAAATTGGCTGGTGTGATTCCAGCGCCCAGAGATGAATGCTGTTGTTGTGTCAATTAAGTGTCTTGCCCAAGGACTAGGTTAAGTGTCTGAGTACACTGGTGTGTGAGCGGGTGAGTGGTTCCTTGTTGTAATGTGCTTTGAGTGCCTTGAATATGGAAAAGTGCTATATAAAAATGTGACCTTTACCATTAAATTTCAACACAGTTTTCAGCTTTTCTTCACAAATTGCTTCTTGATTTATGTAAAACTATAATTTGTATTTAAAGTACTTATAATCTCACCAGATTTAAAATGCAGAATTCTGTGAAATGTTTTAATAACTTCATGGTTTATAAAGATTTAGAAACTGATTTTTATGAAATTATAGATCTTGTGGTCATTAGTTACCACTAATTTTCAAATCTTAGCACATCAGCATCTCCAATATGTGCTGACTTTATGTGTTTAGTGACACATACAGCCCAAATAAGACCTAAAATAAATAACACAGAGACAAGTGGCACATCAGCACCATCATGAGGGAGTACTGGTGCACCTGTCGCAGTAGATATTATTGTTATTACCATTTTGTGAATGTTTTATTTTGATCCTCACCTCTGACCTCCAGTGGTGGAGTTGGACATTACATGTATACGCGCTCTGTGCATGTGGTACAGGAAAATAAGAGAGAAAAAGCATGGACAACATGGACAGGACAGAGAATATCGGTGAAATGCCCAGGAAATGTAATAACTCTCAACTTTGTTCAGTTCTAACGTGTAAAAAGATACTGTCCGTGACCAATAAATTGTTAGCGTATTCACAATAACTCATAATTGTTCAAACAGTTGGACTATTACAGTGTCCAGCACGCCCACATCCCTCTCATCATTATCCGAGTCAGTGTCGTTACTGTTCCCTGGCAGTTCAGTGATGATTTCGGTCTTAGTGAAAGCTCGGACACAGTTGATACTGATCCCTTAGCCCAGGCATTTAAATTCTCGATCTTGGGAATCATTGCCAACACAGAATGTACGGATCTTCACTGATTGGCTGGTGCCCGAACTCGCACTTCCAGGGTTTCTGCGAGCCATCTAGTGTATTCCGATTCCTGACCTGGTCGCTGGAGAGAAATTAAATTGAACGGAGGCATTAGGTGGCGCCAGCCTGGCTAGATTTCTTGTATAAAACTGGGACAAATCACTGGTTTTGGATACATCTACTGGGACAGGGGACACAGAGCTCAAAACTAGGACTGTCTCAGGTAAATAGGGACATCTGGACACTTTAAAGGGTTACTCAAACATATGTCAATGTGTTTTAATATTAATATTCAAATTTTTTCTATAGAATTCAAGTTCTTTATTAATAAAATATAGATTTTCATGGGGGGGGGTCAACATACAATAATAGGATTCTGACCCCGGGGTCGAAATACTATATGGTATGTTGAAAATCTTAAACCACACCAGGTCGGCAGAGTGTGAATCCTGGCCCGCGGAGGTTGTTCAATGCCGCTTGCAGCTTTAACTATATTTTCGCATCTTAATATAACACTTTTTTTTTTGTTTTTTTAGCTCTAGGAAGCTCATCTCAAACATATGTCAGTGTGTTTTAATTTGCAGATATAGTATTAATATTCAAAGTTTTTTCTGTAGCAGAGTTGGGCAAACTACGGCCCGGGGGCCAAAATGCGGCCCTTTAATCTTTTTAATCCGGCCCGCTGAACTTGAATAAATTATAATAGTAAAAGTTGTAATGCCTTGTAATGATTTTCAATTGAAATTCAAGCACATGTTTTCTACATATCCCATTTTTTTTTTTTTCTCTTATAAGGTGGACAACCAAAACACTCCACCCATCTGCTCCTGGTCCGGCCCTTCCATCAAATTTTAGAACCTTTTGTGGCACACGAGTCAAAAAGTTTGCCCACCCCTTTTCTATAGAAGTCAAGTTCTTTATTAATAAAATATAGATTTTCATGGGGGTCAATATTCTATAGGGGGGGTCAACATATCATAATAGGATTCTGACCCCGGGGTCACCTCATCGCGGGGTCAAAATCCTGTACCACACCGGGTTGGCAGAGTGCGAATCCTGGCCCGCGGAGGCCGTTCAATGCCGCTTGCAGCTTTATTTATATTTTCCCGTCTTAATATAACACTTTTTTTTTTAGCTCAGAAAAAAAACAAAAATCGCTCTCAGCATTCTTCTCAAAATCCGTTCCTTATCTTCTTTAAAGTCTGCGCCAATCTCCACGTCTTTATGCCCTCAGATAACTTCTATCACTCACGCAGACACCGCCGAGACTATCAGCTGCCAAAATCGAATCTTCTACATTGAATTAAAAACTATCATATTTTTGTCCCCCAATAGAGCCTCGGTCTGGGCTACACTTCCAACATATTTGTTTCGATTTTTGTACCACCAACGCGCCGAATCCAACCTCCGCTTTTGGATAATATTAGATCTGAGCTTGTTGTCTATTCCCAAGGCGTCTTCCGGCTACAACCGCCTCTTTTATCTCAGTTCCTCTTGCGAATTAACTACAAAAACATGAAAGAAAGCGCGAAAAACAAAACAATGCTACCGCCGCGCAAGGCTGGGCGCGCTATCTCCTACCACCTCTGTTAGCGGCCGGGCTAGGTTTGCGGCTATAAACAGAATCAAAGAACGGAAGCTATTTTCATAATTTGGTCATTAGTGAAGACGCAGTAACAATGATATGTGTTTTTTTTTTTTTTTTTATTCTAGTTTTGTTGGAAAACAATTGTAGCGTGCAGGATTTTTTTGTTGCACTTTTAGCAAGATGTGCAAATTCTAACTTCAAACACTGATATGAGTTTCTGGAAGCAAATTAGCGATGTTTTCGTTAACCCAATTTGTAGACGTAGATCAAAATATTAGCTGTGTGAGTTATAATGAATTTCAAAAGCCTGAATTACACTGTTTTCTGATCTTACAGTATGTTATAATGTTGTTTTCTCAGCACAAACAGACCTGGATTTGTGTTTTGTTTCATTCGTACATGTTTATCGCACAACCCCGGCATATTTAGGCTGAGTTTGTCTTGCCTTAAACAGATAACACTGCCTTCCACCTTGTGATGTCATGTTGTAATACAGGATGTGCTCCAATATGTGTTAAAATGTTAGTTTTTATTTATTTATTTTTAATGTAGCGCTTTTCTACCTTACATGAAGGAACTTTAAACTTAATTCCAAAGTAAATGGGTGGTTTATTCAGATTTTAAAGCCAAATTAATTTATTCTTCGATCATGTAAATGTTTATTATTATTACAAATGATTCTCGTCGTTCAGTGCATGTCTGTTGGGTCGTCCTTCTGCTGCGATCCGGCTCCACCAGTCCTGGCTTCGGACTTTCATTTACATCTCTTTGGATTTGCGAGCGGGATGCGGGAATGGGCTGAGGTAGAGCAGCCGTTGACTCAGTTTGTCTTCTTCCCTTCTCCACCTCAGCTCACAGACGTAAAGCGTGATGAGAGAAAATCCGTGTATCATTCGTTCATTCGTTTTTCAATATAAAACCAAAAATAAGAAAACGAAAAAACAACAGTTTTCTTCGTTATTTGTCTCCAAAACCAAAATGAAAAAACGGATAATGATTCGTTTTTTTCAGTTTTCGATTTTGTGTTTAAATGAAGAATGGAAAAAACGGATAACGGCCGTTTCCCGTTTACGTGACTTCCGTGACTGCGATGCCGGACTTTTGCACTGCGTATGGACTGAACCAGGACTGATCCAGGTCCGAGACCAGACCGAGACCAGAGCGGGACTGAGACCGGGACCACACCGGGACCAGAGAGGGATCAGAGCGGAACTGAGACTGAAACCAGTGGTAAGAGCGGTTCCGTGTCAT